GAACCAGATGATAACTACACTCACCACGAAAACTAGTCAAAGAAAAAGGATAAATATTTGTTAATAGGAAAAATACACTTTTAGTTTTTTTTTTGTTCTTTTGACTAAGTGATAAATGTTCAGGGTACAAAAAAGTTACAAAACGGAGTCCCCTTCCATTCCTATCACTCAGCTACTCAGTTCCTCTCCTGGAAAAAACTACTGTTCTTGTGTTAGAAGGGTGATCTGGTGGAATCTGTCAGAGCCTATGTAAAGCAGACATCCACATAGGGAAGAGAGCTGTAGCAGCAAACGGGAGATCAGTCACATAAAGGGCAATTAATCAAATAAGTAAATACATTAAGGATAATGGGAGCTAGGTTTCTCATGGACAGAGAAGGGAGTTACAATTATGGAAAAGGAGAAAACCAGAACAAGACTTAGAGTGTTGGAGGTATCAGTGTGAACTCATGGTTCCTGATACACAAAGATACAAAAATGTAGATATATAGGTGGGGTGTATACAATTGTATAACGTGTATACCTTAGCTTGTCTGCTGAGAGGGCTTGGGAGCAGGAAAAACCAAACAGCAATAAACAATCTAGTGTCCAGATCTTGGTTTCTAAATACTATACTCTACTAAAAGGAACCAGGGCTCCTTGGAGAAGTGGCTGATTCCAAGCTTGGAACAGGTAAAGTATGAACTGAGCCTGGAACTTCTTGTTGCGCCAGAAAGAAAAGAAGTGTTGGAAGAATGATGGGGACACGTCAAAAGGACACAGAAGCCAGCTTGAAGGGCCTTCCACTAGCTAAATCAGAGCCAATTTGAAAATCTGAATAATGGTAACAATAGATTATAATCCAATGAATAATATAGAAAACCATAAGTCCACAGTGATTTAATGAATAAACAAAATTTGATGAAAAACAGGGTAACTCACATGATCTCAAACTGCCCTCCCCATAAATACTTAATTATAAAGGGAAACAAGAATCTTTATGAGAAGCCTAGCAGATATCTCCTTATTAAGAAGTCACAGTGCACCTCATCAGTAACTGGAAAAATCTAAATTGTATGCCACCTGATAGGGTTCAATGACAATGACAAGAACATATAATCACTTTTGTGATATTCCTGCCAAAGATGCATAACCTGAATATAAGTATGACAAAGCAGCAGAAAGAAAAGACTGAATATTATATGAAATAACTGGCCTGTGATCTTCAAGTGTCAAGGTCATGAAAGTAATGTAAGTGTTCCAGATTGAAAGTGACTAAGGAGACATGACAATTAAATGCACTATGTGATTCTGAACTGGATCCTTTTTGTATAGAGAATATTATTGGAACAACTGGTAAAACATGAATGGGATCCAAGGACTGGATGGTAGTAATGGATCACGGTCAATTTTCTGATTTTGATGTTTGTATTGTAGTTCTATAGGACGTTGCCCTTGTTTGCAGGAAATACAGACTAAAGTGTGATTATGGGACATCATGTCAGCCACTTTCTCTCAAATGGGACAGAATTAAAAAACAAAAAGGTTCTCTAGCAACTTTTCTGTGTGAGATAAAAAAAGGAGGAAAGAGAAAGAAAACTGTTGCATTAGATTGCAAGCTCTCTCTTCTATCCTTTTAGTCTTTTGTTCCACCAGGGCCCTGAATGTATTAGGTGTTCAATGCGTGCTTTTGATTTGTTGAATGACAAAAAGAAATCACTGTGGCTGCCATGAAAAAATGTCCTGAAAAGTAATAAGAGTAGAAGAAGGGGGACTTGTTAGAAAGCTCCTGAAACAGTCTAGGTAAAAAATGGACTGAAGTGTTAAGAATGGTGATGTCAGAGAAGTAAAGATTACATAAATATTTAAAATATGAATTCAAAAGATGTTGTGTTATGGAAAGGGAGGTAAGAGAAAGGATGGCATAGAGGACTCCCAGTTTTCTGGCAAAACCAACCTGATGATAATATTTACTGGTAATGGAAACACCAGTGGAAGAATAAATTCAGAAAAGGTGGAAAGTGGGACAGTAGTGAGTTATTTTAAATATGCTGAATTTGAGGCACTTGTAATAAAACACTTCAACAGAGATGCTGTACAGATAGTACGAGTCTGAAACTTAGAAGAAAGGTAAAAGCACCTAGGCAGACACTACAGGACTGAGAAGAAAAGATGGCCTGAAACAAAACTTTCAAGGCTCGTGAAAGGAGGAAGAGCCAGAAAAGGTACAGCCTAATAAGGTACAGCCAAAAGAGGTAAAAAGAAACCAGGAAAGTATAGTGTTAAGAAAAAAAAAAAGAGAGATGAGAACATTTCAAGAAGGAAGCTGTAATTGGGGTTAAATGGTGCTATAAAGTAAAACAAGGACAGGAAATACCCATTAGATTTAATGATACTGACATTATTGCTACATAAGTTGTAGAAGACAGGTGGGTGAGTTGAGAAGTGACTAAAGGTAAGAAAACTGAGATAGTAACGGTAGACATCAATTCGAGAAGGTTCACTTTAAGGAAAGGAATAAACAAGATGGTAAAGGGAGTGGAATATGGGGTTGCGAGAGGTTTGATTGTTTTAAAATGGAGAAATCTGGACATTTAAATGCTGGTGGGACCCAAAAACCACTGAGATAAACTAAATGACACAGGAGAAAAGAGAGAATTGAGAATGTAGGTTTTCTTAATTCCACACTGGAGTTTGTTACACAGGCCCCAAACATTAAGTTCAAGTGATTTTGAAAGTAAAATTGTTATTCATTAGAATTCTAGAATGTTATTTAGTAAAAAAAAAGTTCTAAAGTCATCCAGCCCCGTCTGCGGCCCAAAGAAGTTAGGTGACTGACTTATCTACTCAAGGTCACAAGGCTACTACGTGATAGGGATATGACCCAAGGACTTCTGACTGCATACTGTTTCCATGATCCCAGGGTGACTTTATATATGATCTGGGTGTTCTGCAGAAGTACATCTGGGGTCATAAGGATGGTGAAGGTAGGCAAGTAAAGGAGATGTGTGTTGGAGAGAGTGTGGCCACATTCTAGGGCTCTGGAATCCCCATTCCTTTTTCACAGAAGCTGCCCTCTGTCTATTTAATAAACTAGGGGCCTGAATGAAATTCTGCTCTAAAAAAAAAAAAAGCAAACAATAATCAAACAAATGTAAAAATATACATAATTTAAAATATGCTTACCGGGTAACAGCACTGAACAACCCACGGATGCGTGCTTTATGTCTAGCTACAAAAGCTTCAGTAAATATTACTCCTCTGTTATCAAGATCAATGTGTCCATTAATAATTCTACCTAGTCGCTGAGTTAGCGCCTGGGGGTAAAGATGGATGAAAATTCTTATTAATTTGAAAGAACAAAATTACACATTTACATTTGTACAGTCTTACTAGCATCATGTTGCATGCTGATGCTGTATTAATCATATGACTGAATAATTTCAGCAAGCATGAATTAACAAGATATATAAGGTAAAATGAAGACTTAGGATCTAGGAAACTTCATAATCTTATGGCAGAGACGAGAATCGAATGAATCAAATAGCTGAATGTTAAAAGGCTCAGCTATATGCTAAAATAAGGCCTATTTCTATGGTAAAATAAAAGAGATTGATTAACCAATTTTCTAGATACAGGCAGTCTGACACATAGATAGCCAAGACATATACATGGGTCTTGGAGAGGATCCTATATGGAGCTTCTAACACTAACAGAGAGAAATAAATGTTATTCCAAGATTCTGTGACCTAGGGAAACATAAGACCTGAAAAGTTATCTTTTATCTAGTGATGCAAATATTACCAAATGTGTCCAGATAACAGAGAGAAATAAATGTTATTCCAAGATTCTGTGACCTAGGGAAACATAAGACCTGAAAAGTTATCTTTTATCTAGTGATGCAAATATTACCAAACTGTGTCCAGAATCTATATTGACAGACAACCTGATTTCTTGGTAATATCAAGAGAGTATTTTTCCACAGCTACACTATGACTGGGATCAGGTACATATAAAATAAGCCTGGACATATCTGCCTTCCCAGGACAAGTTAAATCTACTCAAGTCAGCTTGGCTGATACTTTTATGGTACAGAAAAATGCTTTCCAAACAACTTCTTAATGAGCTTTTAGAATACTGCCTGTGATACTGAGAAAAATTAAAACTGAAAAATATTAAGAAACTATATATATTTCTAAAATGTATCAGTAGCACAATTTTATAAGAAATCATTTGAATTTGTTCTGATACTTTTTTTTTGTACTTTTATTTTTTATTTTATTTTTTTTAACATCTTTATTGGGGTATAATTGCTTTACAATGGTGTGTTAGTTTCTGCTTTATAACAGAGTGAATCAGTTATACATATACATATGTTCCCATATCTCTTCTGTTCTGATACTTTTATTTAAGTGTCTAAAAATTTTCTTTTTTACCTTCTGTGATTTACATATATTTGCCAATTTTATCTTCTGTGATTTACATACATTTGCTCAGGAGCTTAGGCTCCTGAAATGCTTTGTAAAACAGATCTGTGCCCTAAATGGTATTTTAGATGCAATTAGGAGAAATCACTCAGCTAAAATGAGTGAGTAAATCTGTTGTATTATAAATTAATCTCATGCAATTATGGTTTGGTAAGTTAAAGTATACCTAAAAAGAGCTTTGGCTTTTCCCTTATTTGTTGCAGTAAATACAAAACAAAAAACCATCATTTATTGAGTACTTCCACTGTGCCAGCCATTTCAGTAGATATATCATGAATATAACCTCACTGAGATCTATGAAAGAGACAATTATTCCCATTTTCAGATATGTAACTGGAAGCACAAAAGACATGAAATAATTTTCCTGACACTGAATAACTAAGCAGTGGCATAGCCAGAATTCAAATCAAGGTCTGTTTAACTCCAAAGCCCATGCACTTTCCACTGTACCAAATGGACTTCTATAATTCTAAAATGTCAAACCATTTTAAGAAAAAAGAAACAACAAACAGGGAACTAGCCTCTATTTTCAGGTAGCATTGTTATTACACTATAAATCAAGATATCTGATTTGAGTATTGACACAAGTACCAAAAATTAAGAGAATATAAGTGATTCCTTGGTTCTTCTTCCTGTCACACTGACAGTTTAGAGGAAAAAAGGTGACATCAAAAGATGTTGGTACTACTTACATTTTGGGCAAGAAAATTCTTTGTTGGGAAGGGATGTTCTGTGCACTGCAGAATGTTTAGCGTCAGCCTTGATCTTTACCACACAAGATGCCAGTAGCACCCCTTCTAAATTATAGTCTTCATCAGTTATTTCTTAAAATATTTCTTAAAATATAACTAGGCAATCAGAACTGATGATACAGTTTCTGTACAGTTGTTATCAGAACATTAAATAAACCTATATGCTTATGGTATACCTGCTACTGCATCAAAGCAGGCCTAGAACTTAAGTCTACTTAAGTTTAGGGTGTCTATGGGTTCAGGAAGATTACAATCACGTCTAAACAATCTCATCAGAGCCATCAATGTTTAAGTATTCCCCAAATATATTGTTAGAACATCAGTAGTCAAACACTTGCAAAAAATCAATTAATGTTAAGAAGGTATAGTTTCTTCCCTCCCATTAAAATTCTTTTATTTATCTGAAAAGACATATTATAGTATTAAGAAAAAAATACCTGTGTCAGAAAGTTTCCGGGAAGATCATAGGTTTTACACAGTTCGGATATGGTTACCTGACCACTTTCCTGTAATTTATCATTTACCTCTTCTGCTAACCGATCCAAATAACTCCTAATAGTTAAAAAAAAAAAAGGGAAAAACCCAATTAGGAATAATAATTTTCCTCTATCTATTATGTCTAATTCCTGTTGCAATAAGGTATGCCCCAAAAGTAATGACTATGTTTAGGTAAACACCATTCATTACTCATATTCTGAAAATTTTCTTATCAATGTAACTAAATGTAAGGTTAATCAAATAATAAATGCTGAAATTGTTTTCAACAATTAAAATTCTGCAATCATTTTCATTAATACTTTTGGGACAATTCTGCTTTCAGAGTTAAACTCATACAGGAAAGATGAAAAAAATTATGTTTTGTGTCGCTTTAAAACAATAGAAAGAAATAAAAGTTATATTATTTCCAAGTACTCCACACAATTAAGCACTTACTTTTTAAGTACAATGATCCTTACAATGAAAATCAGCACTAAGAGTTCTAAACAAAATGCTGAAGCGGCCACAACTGTTCTAAATATAAGTATAAATTTACTTACAAAAAAAAGAAAACAAAAAAGTGTCCTTAAATATCGTACATACTCATCTATCAGTTGTCCCAACACTAGCTGAACATGTTTTTCTGATTTAACAATGTCACCAATTCTATTTTCAATATGAGTCAGATCCACATTAATCGCCTGGAAAATAAGTACAAATTCTATTAGTGATAAGTTCATACTGTTTAAGTTCGAAATTACATATTTAGAACTTTAAAAAAAAACTTACTTATCCTTAGGTGAATTTCAAATTGATATGAAATATTATAAAGTCTCAAATAAAAAATTAGAGGCTTGTTGCTTATTTACTTTCATTTCTGAACAAGTACATTTTCACTTGCTAAGAAAGTTCATATTAAGAAGTTACACCATTTCAGGGGTCTTTTCTCCTCCAGAGTCCCTCCTGGAGCCTGGGGAGTCTGGTGGGGCGCAACAGGCAAGTCCCAACCCGCCAGAGATCACACAGTGAGTTGGTGAGTCTGCGACCCAAACCACCCATTGCCTCGGAGCAGTCGCCAGACTGCCGCCCCACAAGCGGCCACTTGGCCCAAGGATCAACCCAGCCCTGGCTCTCTCGCTCAGGAAAGGCTCCGCAGGCCAGAATTCAGGGGATCAAGTTGGCCCATGCATCTCAGCCCCTGCTGTGGTTCTCAGGCTTGCTAAGACGTCAGCCAAACCTGCTGTCGGCTTCGTGAACAAGGCTTCTCGGCAGATCCTGGCTGGTGGTTCTGAGGTAGGAGGTAGATGTAGATGGGCCCCTGGGCTGAACAACTGAAGTTTGTCAGGCAGAGTAAATTGGAGCTTTGTGTTCCCTAGACACTTCAAGGACAAAGCTAATGGGAGGAGCTGAGCTCTGCCAGAATAAAGAGATAAAATGACCACATCTATCACTCCTGAGGTCAAGGAGATCTCCCTGACTGCACATGTGCAGAAAGACTCCTCGGGGGTCAAAAAGGGAGGCGCGCTACCCCATAATAGGTGCTGTCAATGTCCCATAGGCTGCTGCGCTGGAATCCATCTTGGCAAAAAGATGCACACGCATATGGAGAAGCACCCTGGGTCAGGTCAGAGGTTGGAAACGAAGCAAGATGACTGGCCAGAGAAAAACAAACACCTGGAAAAACTTCCTCCACATAAGTGATTTAAATCACCTCTCTGGTGTGCTCCTCATTAGGGAGGATGCCTGCACTCTTCTCTGGGTGCGTATTTTTGCTTTGCTCTAAACAAACTGGTTCTTTGTTCTCTTTGCACATACTGTGCTTCCAATAAATCTTGTGCCTGCTTTACAATGTCTTTTTGTGAATTCTTTCTCCCAAGAAGACAAGGACCAAGGTCCTCTCACCTGCCAATGTCATCTGGTACCATGACTTGGATTGCTTCCAAGGTAACTTGCAGGTCTTGCTCAACTATGGCTAGAGACCTCTGTTTGCACTATCTTCCTTACCTTCTCCTTTGGCCTGCACCCTTCTTTCCTACTTTTCTTGCACATAAGGGTCTGTTTTTCACTACATATTTTCACACCCTCCTGGGAGAAGATCTTTTGCTTTTTATTTCTAAACTGCCAATGCTGTCTTTGTCAGGCTGAGTGCACAGGCTCCCTGAGGTCTTATCTTTGTTACAAAAAACACCAGGGCATATGACTTTGGAAATAATTATGTTTCCCAACTCCAATTCTTCCAAGAGTTCCTCCTTTTGGACCCCCCCACCCCTCAAGCTTTGGCAGCCCTTACACTGCTATGGACAGCCTACTGGGCTGGCCAGTTCCCAGCAGATAATGTCATAAATTTTACAAATGCTCAATCCCGAGGAGTACATCCCAGTAGGAAATCTTGTTATAGGACATAGGGGAGATCTGATGTCTATAAAGCTTAAGGGAAAACCGGCAACTGCTCTGCACTGGTTCAAATGTCCACCCCAGGTAAGAAGGGAGGGCACCCTGTGCAAGGAACCAAAGCTGACCAGAGATGTCTGGTTAGAAATCAGTGGGGGAGTAGAGGATGCTCCAAAGCCCATCAGCATTAAGATCGAAAGACATTCAGAGGACACTCTGAATCTCCTCCAGGTGCCTCCTAGTAATGTTTCCAGGATGCTGGACTTCATTTCTAGGAGCACTGTTCTCGGTTGCAGGTTATTCAACATGGGAGGATCTCCTTCTAAACCAAAAAAAACACCCCTCAGAAATGCTCCCAGGGCACTAAGTTCTTTTTGTTCTTTCTGTCCACTTTTAGTCATAAACACCATGGAAGGTATCCCTGGGACAACAATGTATCAGCCAGTCTGCCTCTGTCATTAGGGCCAATTTGAGCACTCTTTGGTCTAAATTCTAGCTATGAAACTATGAATACAGAAAAAGATGATTTTTTTTTTTGACATTGTGTGGCCACAATATTCTCTCCAGAAAAAACTGGTTAAGATAAAACCCTTTTGAAATTGCAAAACTGGTTCTTTTGCATGTGCAATTAGAGAAAGCTAACTTGTTAAAATACTTTTTTTCAGAATTCTGATCCTGAGAGAACAAAAATACGCCTAGGAGAAAGCCTGACGTTAACTCTTAACATGTCCTTGAGAGACAAACACAGCCCACTTTGCCTGAGACTTCAGCCTTGGGTTAATTAGTAGAACTTCAAGCCAAGGGGAAAAAAAAGCAAAGAGGCATTTTAAACCTCAAGCAGAAACTGTGAGATCTCTGTCTGTCTGGATTTATGTATATCTCAGTATGTGTCTCTGTCTGTGGATAATACTGCTGAGGCTAATTCGTAAATGAACTCTATTTAATTGGCTGAAAGAAAAGTAAGTGCTTATAAATCAAACAATTCTATATATATGAGAAACTAAGCTAAACAAATTTCAGGTTCACATGATCTGGGAAATATTCAATATTGAACTGATATCTAATATTAAAGTTAGTTTAAGTTTATTAATACAGACATGTCTTTAGAGTCATCAATATTAAGTATAATACCTTTGTTGTACCTAGGTTTACTGAAAGTCATTAAGTTCACACTGTATCTGTTACATTTGTCAACAAGAGAATTAACTTGGTATGGGATAAAAGCTTTTGAGTAAACACTGTGGGAATAATTATCTTTTAGTTTTTCCAGATTTTTGGTACCTTGAAACTTTAGTTTTGCTAAATCAAGTCAAATGATAAAAAGTCATTAAATGTCTAAATCATTTTTAAGATAAAATACTGAAATATTGATCGCTGAACAAATCTAAATTCGCCTACTTTTGTCTTCTCGCAAGAGGGAAACTAAAGATGTTTGGGTTTATCAGACACATACCTTGTACTACGCTGAGAAAAGAAACTGTGCTTTGGGAAAATGCATGTTTTTAGAGGTTATGGAATATATTAAGTTTGCTAATCGGGAAATGCCAATACTACAAACAGTTCACAATTGCTTTCTTCTTGGTTTTCACTAGAGGTTAAGGTTTTTAAGGGTTAACAAGCATAATACGTAATTAAAGCTACTAAAATGATAAGGGAAGCATTTCAATGTGTGAAGCAAGTAGAATATATGTTGTTGGTGACAGAAGATATGAAGACTGGAATTTAGTTTTCTCTCTCTGTTAAGAGAACAAAGTTTTCTTGGAATGCTGCTTTTGATAAGAGACTGTGAATTTCTTTGTCTTTAGGTGATCTGTATTTGCTTCTGAAATCTTTTGTTACTTTGGTTGAGTAAATAAGTATTATTTCACAATGATCTATGATTCTATTTGACTAAGTGTTTTAAAACTTTTTGATATTTTTTAACAAACTTCCCAAGTGTCAAATTCTAATTAAAGTTCTTCTGACCTCCAGCTAACTTCAAGGCACTTCAGAGGGCCCCTGAGGCATCTCAGAAAAATATTACACTAACTGGGATTATTTGACAGATTAAATTACAGGAGGAACATTGTCAAATAAAAGGTAACAACGACAGAATCTGTAAAGATCATGACACATGTAGATAAAGTTCACTCTGCTTCTACAAAGATTAACCCCTGACTGTCAGACTCTGCCATCCTGATGTCCTTGTAACATGGCAATGGTCTACTCCTAAATCAGGGAATTTAAAATGGGTAAACAACAGCTGTAAATTAAACAGGGTTATGGGAAAGCCAAGATGGCCACCTGGCTTTTCCCAGCTCCCTGGCAAACTCCATTTTTACTTGATGGGTTAAAGCCTTCCCTGGCTACAGGGCTGATGCCCTCACAATGAAAAGGAAATGGTTAAAAAATGTGTTTTCCACTTGGGGTATACTTTCTTCAACCTCCAGTGATCGAGGCACCCACTTCACTAGACAAATCATATAAGCCTTAACACAAACTTCTTGAAATTATCACTGTAACTATCATCCTCAATCATCAGGCAAGGTCAATAAAACTAATGGAAAAAGTGGACTCAAACAGAACAAAAATTAATTACATGGGATTAAATGAACTGGTAAATATGATTAATTTTTATGACTTTGACATATTACCAACTTCTAATCTTTGTTTTTCAGATACAGAAAAGCCCTTCTCCTCAAGCTACTTATGGCTTACAATAATTTGGTAATTTACACCTGAGGATAAAATTAAAACATTTTTCTCTTTGACTGGTCCCTCCAGAAACTGGAGATCCTTGGGTTATGAACAGCCTTATCAGGTAAATAAAAAAGACTGCCTCCTGACACGTAAAGGAATCTCAAAATACTTTAGGGACCTCTAGAAGACAGAAATCCACCTAAGCAAAATCTGATGGCAGACCTTTCGCATGGCTTTCTTGGCCTTGAGAGGCCTTTTGGGAATTTAGTCTGAGACTCCTTCTGAGGAGTTACACCAGAGTCAGTATAGAGGAGCCTATGCGGTCAATGGACCAAACTTTTTTTGAAAACAAATTGATCTTGGCTGTGTTTGGTGGAAATGAGGGCAATTTTAGAAAAAGGATTATGTTTCACTAAATATTAAATTCTAGTTTCGTTAATTAAGGCCTGTGTCTACTAAGACTCACTTCCCAGATAGTTCCTTGCTGTTAACATTATATTGTTGCAAAATTTAATTAAATTATTAAAGGGACATTCTAAGTTTCTTTCTGAAGCCTAACTTCATAATCAACCTTTGGATAAAGATCACATACTCCATGATCTACAACCTGGAGATTAACACTAGGCTATGA